CAGCGCCGGGCCCGGCGCGGCGATCACCGAGGCGGGCGCCGCCGTGGCCTGCAGGAAGCGCAGCGTGCGCAGCGCGCCGGCCGAGGTGTGGCACAGCAGGTGCACCAGCACGCCCACCACGCCGTCCAGCTCGTCGCGCGGCACGGCCGAGAAGTGCTGGTGCAGCTGGTTGAGCACGGGCGGCTGCAGCGCGTCCACCAGCTCGGCCCACACCGTGGCCAGCAGCGCCGGCGACAGCAGCGCCAGCTGCAGCAGGAAGGGCACCGTGGCCTTGTGGTGCTCGCGCGGCGAGCCCAGGCTCTCGTGGAACATCCGCAGCAGCTCCTGCTTGATGCTGCCGGCGTGCCGCGACGCCAGGTGGCCCAGGATGCCCACCACGGAGGCGATCTTGGGCACGCGCTTATCCCCCGCCGCCGTGCCCGCCTCGGCGCCGCCGTGCGCGCAGAAATCCTTGAGGCCGCACGACAGCACGCGGCTGATGATGGTGCCGGGGAAGGAGGAGCCCACGTGCGCCACCACCCAGTCGAAATGCGGCGAGTGCTGCACCGAGGTGTCCAGCAGCGCGTCCACGCAGGCGTCGGGGCAGCTGCCCGCCATGGCGGCCAGGCACTGGCTGTAGATGTCCAGCAGCGCCCGCGTGGCCGGGCACGCCATCCAGAGCTGCAGCAGCTCGTTGAGGCTGGCGGCGGGCGGCACGCCGGGCCGGCCCGCGTACTTGCTGCTCAGCTGCCCCATCAGCTCGCTGGCCCAGGCGGCCACGCCAGGCGCCCACGCCCGCGGGTTGGCGGCCACCAGCTGAAAACGGGGGAAATTGGGTTAAAATGGGGGAAAACGGGGTTAAAATGGGGTTAAAATGGGGGAAAATTGGGTTAAAATGGGGGAAAATTGGGTTAAAATGGGGAAAAACGGGAGCAAAGTGGGGGTAAAATGGGGTAAAATGGGGTAAAATGGGGTTAAAGGCTCCAGGCCGCTGAGGAACGCCTTCACCTCCTGGGAGAGCTCCTGCGCGCTGTCAGGGGACAGAAAATGGGGGAAAATGGGTTAAAATGGAGATTAAACAGGGTAAAATGGGGTTAAAATGGGGGAAAATTGGGTTAAAATGGGGAAAATCGGGAGCAAAGTGGGGGTAAAATGGGGTAAAATGGGGTTAAAGGCTCCAGGCCGCTGAGGAACGCCTTCACCTCCTGGGAGAGCTCCTGCGCGCTGTCAGGGGACAGAAAATGGGGGAAAATGGGTTAAAATGGAGATTAAACAGGGTAAAATGGGGTTAAAATGGGGTAACATGGGGTTAAAGGGTCCAGCCTGCTGAGGAACGCCTTCACCTCCTGGGAGAGCTCCTGCGCGCTGTCAGGGGACAGAAAATGGGGGAAAATGGGTTAAAATGGAGATTAAACAGGGTAAAATGGGGTTAAAATGGGGTAACATGGGGTTAAAGGGTCCAGCCTGCTGAGGAACGCCTTCACCTCCTGGGAGAGCTCCTGCGCGCTGTCAGGGGACAGAAAATGGGGGAAAATGGGTTAAAATGGAGATTAAACAGGGTAAAATGGGGTTAAAATGGGGTAACATGGGGTTAAAGGGTCCAGCCTGCTGAGGAACGCCTTCACCTCCTGGGAGAGCTCCTGCGCGCTGCGGGGGACAGAAAATGGGGGAAATTGGGTTAAAATGGGGTTAAAATGGGGAAAAATTGGGTTAAAATGGGGAAAAATTGGGTTAAAATGGGGAAAAATTGGGTTAAAATGGGGAAAAATTGGGTTAAAATGGGGAAAAACGGGAGCAAAGTGGGGGTAAAATGGGGTAAAATGGGGTTAAAGGGTCCAGCCCGCTGAGGAACGCCTTCACCTCCTGGGAGAGCTCCTGCGCGCTGCGGGGGACAGAAAATGGGGGAAATTGGGTTAAAATGGGGTTAAAATGGGGAAAAATTGGGTTAAAATGGGGAAAAATTGGGTTAAAATGGGGAAAAATTGGGTTAAAATGGGGAAAAATTGGGTTAAAATGGGGAAAAACGGGGTTAAAATGGGGTAAAATGGGGTAAAATGGGGTTAAAGGCTCCAGCCCGCTGAGGAACGCCTTCACCTCCTGCGACAGCTCCTGGGCGCTGCGGGGGAGAGAAAACGGGGGAAATTGGGTTAAAATGGGGGAAAACGGGGTGAAAATGGGGTTAAAATGGGGGAAAATGGGTTAAAATGGGGTTAAAATGAGAAACAATGGCATTAAAATGGGGTAAAATGGGGTAAAATGTGGTAAAATGGAGTAAAATGGGTTAAAATGGGGTTAAAATGAGAAACAATGGCATTAAAATGGGGTAAAATGGGGTAAAATGGGGTAAAATGGGGTTAAAGGGTCCAGCCCGCTGAGGAACGCCTTCACCTCCTGGGAGAGCTCCTGGGCGCTGGGGGGGCCAGAAAATGGGGGAGAATCAGAGTGAAATTGGGTAAAATGGGGTAAAACGAGAAAAAATGGCATTAAAATGGGGAAAAGTTGGGTTAAAGTCGGGTAAAAGGACATGAAAATGGGGTAAAATGGCCCAGTTCTGGGGGTCCCTGAGGGGGCTCGGACCGAGCTCTGAGGGTCTCTGAGGGGGGATCAGGCCCGGGGGTCCCTGAGGGGGCTCGGGCCCGGCTCCGGGGCTCGCCGCTCCCACTCCCGCTCAGTCCCGGTGCCCCCCCTCCCCTCCCGGGGCTCCCCGGTACCTGAGCGGGGGCCGGGGGGGGCTGGCGGCGCCGGGGTCGCACAGCGCCGACATGGCGGCGGCGGCCGGGCCGGGACAGCGCGGCTGCGCATGCGCCGGGAGCGCCGCACCGGAAACTCCCCCCGCGCCCCCCGCGGCCGCGCGCGATGGTTCCGCCCCTCCGCGCGCACCCTCCCCTGCGGTGTCACCGCGAAATGAGTCCCCCCCACCCTGGGAGAGAAACGGGAAGAGAGAAGGGACAAAAAGGACAAAAAGCGTTTATTGGGGACACTGGGGGGACTGGTGCCAAACTGGGGACACTGGGAGAGACCGCGAGAGACTGGGAGGGGCTGGGAGGGACTGGGAGAGACTGGGAATGGGATTGGAGGCACTGAGAATGGGGACTGGGGATACTGGGAGGGACTGGGAGGGGCTGGGGACACTGGGGGATACTGGGGATAGGGACTGGGAGATACTGGGAGGGACTGGGAGATACTGGGAGGGGCTGGGGACACTGGGATGGGGATTGGAGACACCAGTGCCAAACTGGGGACACTGGGACAGGGATTTGGGACACTGGGATGGACTGGGGACAGGAACTGGGAATACTGGGAGGGACTGGAAGCCGGATTTGGGTCCGCCGGTGCCACCTTTGGTCCCTGGGGACACCGGGCTGGCTCCGGTGGCCCCGGGGTGGTGGCACTGGTGGCACTGGTGGCACCGGTGGCACTGGTGTGACTGGTGTGGTGTCCCCGCTGTCCCCGCGCTCACTCCGCCGCCGCCATCTCCACGTCTCCGTCCCCGGCTCCGCCCGGCGCCGCCGCCCGCAGCGCTGGGGACAGCGGGGGCGGCTCGGGGCTCCGGTTCCGCCCCCGGTACCGCCCCCGGTGCCCTCCCGGTGCCCCCCGCTCACCCCGCAGCCGCTTCAGCTCCTTCCGCAGCCGCTTCCCCCACACCGCGGCCGGCCCCGCGCGCGCCGACGGCGACCTGCACGGGAGGGAAGCGGGGAGAGGCACCGGGAGCGGCCTGAGCCACCGGGGGGCACCGGGGGAGGCACCGGGGGGCACCGGGGGGCACCGGGACGGCGCTCACCGCCGCTTCTGCCGCCGCCCCCGCGCCCGCTCGCGCCGCCGCTTGAACAGCTTCTTGCGCAGCTCCTGCGGGGAACGGCGGCGTCACCGGGGGGGGTCCCGCCGGCACCGGAGCCGCGCCCCGGTACCGGAGAACGCGAACCCCGAAAGAAGCGGGGCTGCCGCCAGCCTCGCTCCCGCCGCGCCCCTCCTGGACCTCCCCCGAGCCCTCCCGGTGCCTCCCGGTGCCTCCCGGTGTCCCCGGTCACCGTTCGGGGCCGGTTGATTTTGCCGCCGATCCCCATCGTCCCCTCACGAGCCACTTCCGGTGCGGCAGAAACTTCCGGTCCGGCCGCACTTCCGGTCCGGCGCACTTCCGGTCGCTGCGCCCTTCCCCTTTGCCCCTCCCCGCGGATATCATTGGCCAGCGGGCGCGCGGAGAGGGCTCTGATTGGCTATCATTGTGAGAGCCCCGCCCATATTCAAATTAACTTTAAGCCACCGCCCCTTTACCATTAGTTTGTTTTCATTGGTTGGCGGGCGCGCGCCGGCGCCGCTGATTGGTGGAATTCCCTGAGGCCACGCCCACAGCCCGCAATATATAAAATGGCGGCCGCGCCTCAGAGCGGTTTTTGGGCACGGGGTGAGCTGCGGGGTCCGGTTTTGGTCGGGGGTTTTGGGCGGATTTTTGTCCCCAAACCGGGCGGGCGGGGGGCAGCGGGCGGCTCCTCCCGTTCTTGGCGGGCCCCGGCGGCGCCGTGCCGGGCTCCGTGATGTGCGGAGGGAAAGCAGCGACCGGCGCGATGTCTTCGGTGCCGGCGGTGGCGTCCGCCGGTCCCACCCTCACGCGCCGGGACAAGGCCCGGGCGCGGCTCCTCCGGGAGCTCCGCCGCGCTCGGGGCCGCCGCTTCACCGCGCTTTTCTCCTCTGCAGGACCGGGAACGCCGCGGGACCGCGCCGAGGGCGGATGGGGGATTTTGTAATTAAAGTTATTAATAAACCGCTTTGAACCGCTTTGGTCTCGTGGCTGTTTTCGGTAGGAGCGCGTCCCGGGGTGAGGGCGGGGATCTCCCGTTCCTTTCTCGGTGCTGGGGCCGCCCCGTGATCCCGACCCCGGCGGCCGTGAGGGGGGGACGCGGCTCCCGGTCCTCCCAGCCGCCGTCTCTATGGTTTTAGCGCACGTGAGGGGACTTCCGGTCTTTTTAGCCGCCATCTCTATGATCACGGCATGGCAGGGCAACTTCCGGTCCTCCCGCGTGTAGTCTCTATGGTTTCCGTGTGCGTGAGGGGACTTCCGGTCCTCCCAACCGCTCTCTATGATCCCAAGAGGACGGGCTCCACTTCCGGTCCTCCCACCTTCCGTCTCTATGGTCCCGGCGGGCCAGAGCGGCGCCGGAAGCGGAGGGAGGGCGGCGATGGCGCTGGACCCGCGCTGGCCGCTGGCGCTCGCCCGCGGCGCCGTCCCGGTGGCGCTGGGGCTGCTGCTGTGGGTGGCGATCGCGGGCGGCGAGCAGGAGCGGCAGCAGACGCTGAAGGTACGGGGAGAGGGGGGCGGCGGGGGCGCCCCGGGGCGCGGCACCGGCGCTGAGCGCTCCCCGGTCCCGCAGGCCCAGCCCGGGGCGGACGCGACTCTGGCGCAGCGGCGGCGCCACAACGAGCTGATCATGGCGGCGCTGCGCGAGGCGGCCGAGACCGACGAGAACGTGGCGCAGCGGGCGGTGCCGTGGCGGAAGTGACGTCAGCACCGGGAGCCGCTCTCCCGCCGTTTCCCGGTGACCCCCGCATTCCCCCGGAACCATCAGCGCTGGGCGCGGTCGCGCCCGGAACTCTTTCGCGCGGCGCGCCCGGACTGCAATAAATAACGG